CCATCACTGGTGGTGAGAAACAGAGCTGCTTCTTTTGGTGGCAGCAAACTGTTAGATTAGATTAGCTTTCTTGGGTAATTGCATCCTTAAAGGGTCTGGAAGGCGTCTACATCAGCAGTTGTCTCCTTGCTTGAATAGCACTGATTCTTTCAAAGACACTGGATCAACATGAATAGGCTTAAACCACCTATAGAAGAAGGTTTTTCTTTCTATTCCCCGAAGTATGGTGCTGGTCTCTTTTCTTTGTCTTCACCTTTGTTGGTTCTGTGGCATTCCATTTGGGAATGCGGGCAAGGTGCAATTTGAGCATACAGAGAGTAGAGATCCTCTTTAAAAGCCCTCTTTTGAGTGTGCCTGTTGGTTCTATTCTCACTAATGTTCTGGGCCATGAGATTTTACTACACAAAGGAGCAAATCCAGGATAAGGGCTTTGAGATCCTCAGTTTAGCCTTTATTTATTGGAGGGTAAACAACATCGCTGAATTGTTACTTGAAACAAGTCAAGTTTTCAGTCTCTTTGGACAAATTAAAAGTTTTTCCAGATCAAAAGAACTGAATATTTCATTTTGATGGGAGTAAAGGGTGTTAAATTGTTGTTTTCTTAAGCGAATAAACTGTATGTCTGACTTGTTTCATATTTGAAACTGTTTGTTTCTTGAATTATTAAAGAAATCAGAGCACAACTAAGTGCCACAAATCCTTTTTAAAACAAAATCTTTTTAATTGAACAGTACAAGTAAGTCACTATTATGAGTATTGATGTAAAATGTATCTAAAAAATTGAAAGGTTAATTACAAATGTTTCCTAAGGTCAGTCTGTACTAGTCTTGGAAATCATTTTGCACTTGCTTTTTGGAGATCTTGCTGCATGTGTTCTTGATTTCCATTCCCCTTTCAGACTGAGCAACTGTACTTCTGTGTAGATGGGTCCCTAGATAGCCTCTGTATTAGAGGCAGCGTGTACTTTTAGCTTTTGCAGTTTATTTACAGGGCATAAAGACTTTGTCTTTAGAGTTAGTCAAAAAGGAATCACATACTAACTTTCTGTGTTACTCACAATTAGGTTACTCTAGATTTTCATCCAGTGATTTTTCTATTCCAATTTAAGATTTTACTGTAATAAATTTTAGTCTAGTAAGAAATTCATTTACATGACTTTGAACAGAGAAAGTCTTTTCTTTCTGCGTGCACAGTGAATTAGTGTTGAAATACATCTGTATTTTTAGGTTATGAATTGCATGAAGTAGTACGTGTTAATAGAGTAGGTAAACCACATATATTTTTGTGATACAAAAAATTAAGTGTGTAAAACCACACATTTTTGTGATACAGAAGATCAAGTGTGTAAAAAGCACTTATCAGTCTGCTTTATGGAGTTGCCTAAGTACATTAGGAAGCCACGTTCTTCAGATGGACAATGGTGAATGTATTACCGCATCCTACAGTTAACTTTTTAAGAATTTTTGGTGGTGGATGTGTTTGGCATCTGCCTCGCATGAAGACAAGAACAGGAATTTCCTGTGAAGAATAACCTAGAAACTTAAATGTTTAATTACTTTGAAATAACAAGGGGATAAGGCAGTGGTGTGTACTTATGGTAATGTCCTTGTTCACTGTTTTCAGTTCAATGTGCTAAAATATTCTTATGTTTATCTTAAATATGAAATTAAATAAGGCATTTCTCTTACAAAGGAAGTTACAAGCACAGAAAAGTAGCGTTACAGCCAAAACGCTATGCTGTCTTCAGGCGTTCTTAGAAAGTATTTTATCTATGGAGTTGGGGGGGGGGGGGGGGGGTGTTGATTTTGATTTTTGTCACCAGTAACATAATATAGTGCTGCTTATTGCTGTCTTGTCAAGCGTCTTGCATGCATGGGTCTTGCGTACTTTCTAGTATTTCACATCAACAAATGGTCATAACTAAAACGTCTTGGTCACAAGTCAGTAGAATGTGGTAGTAGTACTCTGGATATTAGCAGTCTTCAAATATGTATTAACCTGATTGGACACAGCTGTGGGTATGGACATAATGTGATCTTCATGTGAGTGCATACAATTTGGTAACTGGAAAAATGGCAAAAAAAATTATCTTGCTTCTTTCACTGTCTTCCCACCCTCCAACCAAGACTACAGATTCGTTGTGTGGCATGCAGCTAGAATGATGAAGTCTGAGAAATACTTCCAAGTGTTCTCAAAGTTCAAAAGAATCTAGAACATTATGTCACGTTTTGGGACAAATAAAAGTTCTGGGGTTTGTGCTTTCTACTCCTCCTAAACCAATGTGTTCTCCTTTCCTAACTGGTTTTAATTTTATAAATTTAATATTAGTCTTTAGTGTTAACTCTTCCAGTATTCCAAGGCCTGTGATGCCCCTTGTAAAGCAGGGGCAAAAATAGTCTTTCCAAAGTTAATGTGTTAAACAGAATGTAAATTTTGATGATGTCTTTTACTTTATTTATAAATATTTATATTTCTGTGCTGTGTTGTGCAAAATGCAGTGTCAAACAGAAAAGTTGTGCTGTGCAAAGTGATCTGTGAAATGCATTAGCAGCACTCGGTATCTGTTTAAATACTGAGTTTGTGAGAAGAGTGATGTAACGCCACATAAACGTTCTCAGTTGCTGCACAACTTGGGTTTACTGATACTCTGTCAAAATTTTAAGATCTGTTTTTCTAGTTACTATAACTGCAAGAATTTCTGGGATGTCTTTGTCTAGAAGGAGTAGAATGGAGAAAAGGTTACTTTTTTCTGGAGAAAAATCTGAAGAGATTCTATGGGTTCTGTTTCTGTAATCTACCTTAGCGAACTCAACACCTCTGTTCTAATAAGTATGAACTCTACAGCTACTGCTTAAGTTACAATTTGGTATCTAGATTATGTCTGTGTAAACTTTACTGTGGATGGATGCAGAGTGCAGAATCCTTGTTCTTAAACTGTCTCAGCTGTGAGGAGTCCTGGGAGTTGTAGGGTACAGAGAAGTTTGATCATGGCTTCTGTATTTTTCTGCTTCTATAGGGCATTGCTGAGGTTTTGTCGGAATGTGGAGCACAAGGTATATTCTTATGTTTTATATAGAAAGGCATGTATGCCACACAGCACTGCATGATTTAAGCTTTCGGGGACCATTGCCACTTAAGTCCTCTTGCAAATCGGAGTGAAAGCAACAGGCCTTGGTGTCATATTTTAAGTTCAGTTGTGGTTTGGGTGGTCTTACCGGTCCTAATTTGATGCCGATTTTGCTTGTTTAAGGCATTAAAATTTAAAGTAGTCGTTTGGCTTTGCTGGGTTTCATCTTGCCTTCAAAGGGTAATAGCTGGTGGTGGTTCTTCTAACAGAACTTGCATATAACTTATGGCATTCACTACATTGTAGTTTGCATTAATACTAGTGCTGATAACTGCTCTACAGTTGATGGCATTTATCCTAATGATATTTTTTTTAAAGTCATATTTTCTATCAAAATAGGATAGCAGTGTAGTGGGAAAATTGCTTTACAGCTGGCTTTTTGTTTCCTTCTCCCTTCTCTTCTCCCGCTCCTTGGTTAACTTGGTTCCCACATTCCTTGTGGGGGGATTAAAAAGTAGTTCTAATGGGAACATTGAAGCCAGTTAGAATTCTAACTACAGATTTCTGATTAGTTTCACAGTTTTGACCATTTCTTTAATGAACTGTCTGTTCAAGACTCAGATCAGAGTCCTGCTTCCCTGAATTGCCTAGGAAAGTGAGAACCATGTTATGTGATGAGCATGTGCAGCAGCATTTCTTTCATCAGTAAGAAGAAATGATCATTAGAACACTTCCTGCTGCCAAGATCAAGCAATAAAGACTTGATCAGAAGAAGAGTTTTGGGATGCAGATTCCGTCTCTTCCCCCTCCTGCGTATCCAGGTGCTAAACTAGTGTATTTTGTAAGTGAAATAGGAGGAAGTTTAGTTGAGTGTGATTGTGGTGTTCTCAGCTCTATCCTGCTGCTTTGACTAGTGAAGGCATTAAAGAGTAAGGGGTTTGAAATCTCAGTTGGTTTGCTTCAGGTTTGAGTGCTAATATAGCAGATCTTGCTAATTTATGACTTCTTCAGTCTCTTGTGAAGTTTTGAGTTGTCCTTTTAAATAATAATTTCTAAAGCTTTATATAATTCCAAAGAAAACTGCTGGTCCTTCTGTGGCTGTTGGATTGGAGCTTTAGGTGCCTGTATACCATCTCTGCTGTGACTACAGGAGTTTGAAATGCAACAGATTCAGTCCTCAGTGTAGATAACATTGTTTTCAAGCGCATTTATTTCTGCGTGAGCCTGCAAAGAACATACCCTTGCTGTTTCTTGGTGAGATTGAATTCTTTCAACCTCTATGATGTGGATCCCTGAGATATTCTATATCCATGTTATTTCACACTGCTCCTTTGCAGAACAGTTAAAAGGTAAATCCTCCCCATTCATGATACCCCAGTGCACTTGCAGCTGTGACCTGTCCCTTGTTCAGTGATACAACTTTCCCTGCATTTTTTTGAGTGCAGATAGTTCTAATTGTGTGACACAAATAAGAAGCAAGCCAGTGTAAGCTGCTTTCATTTTTCCCACTTGTCACTACTATGGTGATGCTTGTTGTGCAAGCAGCTAACTCTTCTGGTACTCATGTGTTTAATTTTGTTGCTTCCACCATTTGTGAAGGGCAATTTGCAGATGTTAGTTACTGTGCTGTTAGGTGGGGTGGTTTGCATAGAAACTTAGCAATGCATTTAACCTTTAAAAATAAAAGCACTGTTGCTGGTCTTTGTTGAACAAAAACAATTTCCAAGTTGGAAGTACCAGTTGCTAGACAGCACTAATGATGCTCATAAATTGTAAACCGGTTGCAAATGATCTATAACTAACTCTCCATCATGTGTCTCTACTGTACAAAGGTGTGATGAAATGGGGAGAGCACTCTTTAAATCCATAGCAGTCATTTTTAATTTCAAGTTGCGATCTAAATAACTGTGTAAACTATTTCTGTATTTCCCAGACTACATTTTGAAAGAAGATGAAGAACAGAAAGCAATGTATTCAAGATACTGAGGGTCAGAAGCATGAAGGCATGGAAGGTAAGATCTGTGTGTGTGAAAATACTCAAGTACATTATTCAGGTTCAAGCTGTGAAGGTCAGATTGTACATTTGCTCTCAATTAGTATGTTGCTTGTTTTGAAGGAAATTATGTAAGCATAACCACTATCTTAGCATAATATTTTTCTTTGACCTGTGGGGTCCCCAAATCCTTTCTTGTCTTTTCTATTTTTAAAATGTTGATGTCTAGTAGCAGAGCAAAAATGGAGATAGCAATTGTTATTCAGAAAAAATAATTAATTTAGAGTAAAATTCCTTGAAGAAATGTTCTTGCATTTTTATATCCTGAAAACAGTTTCTAACTTTAACAGAATTGGGAGCACTTCTTATTTAATTTACATGATTAGGTAAATATTTGAAGATGTTCAGATTAAAATAATTCAAAGACTGGTAAACTGAAATAAAAGTACACCATGTGTATATAAGATAATGAATATAGAATAAGCTGGTCTAATTTATTTCATGGAGAGAGTGCAAATGTCTGAGGGGGAAGAACGCGGGAGAACAGTGTTTAAATGACAATGTGACCAATAGGAAACACTGTGATGCTTTCTTTGTTTAAATAGCACTAGAGCTAACTTTCCTTTGTTTTATGGCAAATATTGGTACAGTAGTCTATGAAAAATGGTGCATAGTGGTTTTCACCTGAAACACATTCCTTTAATTACATCTGGGCAGTGTCTTGACTGCATTAGACGTGAAAACTTGATTAACTTGCTTTTAAATACAGAAAAGTCTATCTTATTGCCTTATGATTAAAGTCTAGAAGGACTTTGTTTCAAAAACTGTCAAAAATTCTAAGTGTCAATGTTAATAATACCAGGTGAAGAAAATGAAGAAAGCTATTCCTGTTCTACTTTATTATATGATGGTGACACATGCCCCATCTGTCTGAACTGCCTTCAAGAGCAAGAGGTTGGTTTTCCTGAAACCTGCAGTCATACCTTCTGCATGGCTTGTATTCTTAAATGGGCTGAGGTAAGACTGAGAACCAAGGTGTGTGTTTGTTTTTCAGTGAAATCTAATGCCTACAGGTTTGGTTTGTTGTTTATTTAAGAAAATAAGTTACACGTTCTGACTTTGCACAGAAGTGTTTCAGTGACCAGTTTATGAATACATCCTAGGAAACTTTCTCCTTAGTGCGATGAAGTACTTTGTTTCCTTTCACTGGACATCCTGACTTCTATGGTTTCTAGAGATTAGGGGTCAGCAAAAATTAGTGTTGGCCATTTGAAAGATCAGACAGTATTACATACATGTCATAATACTGGAGTGTCATTAGCTTGCTTTTGCTATCCCTTATGCTGTTTGTCATGTTGTCAGCTCTTAGGGCTGGGACTAATACGTTTTCATGTTAGTCTACAAGATGAGCCTGATAAAACCTTAGTTTTCTAACTCTAAAGAGAATTCAGCTAAAAGGTTTAGTACTATTCTGAATTTTAATAAAATCAATTTAAATATGCCTGTTGCTAAATATGGCTATGACTTGATCTGTGTCAGTACCTTTTAGATAGTTCTGGAACCTTAAAGACAAATGATTTGCTGAACAAGTTCTTGTTGATCTTGTTCTATTTAATCCCTTTTTCCTCACATGTGCCCTGTAATCATTGCATTGAGTCTTTGGTATCTTTACCTTTTCAGCAAGTTTTTCAATTATCAATATAAAACGTCGAAATAGACTTGCTTCATACTGTATTGGAAGGGGGTTGTGCTCAAGTGAGATGCTGGTTTTTGTCCTGCTTCTGTGCACTTGAACTGGTTGCTTATTGTAATAGAGACCATTACTTTGTTTCTCCACAATAAATTCCCTTTTGAAGTAAATAAGGATTTTGGTTTCAGTATATCCTTTATTAGGTTGACATTGTTCTGTGTATGCATACAATATACCCATGTATTACCTTTTACTTATTATATTTTTAACCTTGATTTTTTTTTTGTTATTTGTTGCTGAAGGCTATCAGTACCATAAATCACTTCTTTCTGGCGATTTTATGTGAACTTCAGCATATTGAAACAAGGTTATTAGATGAAACTTGCTTTAGATTCACAAACTAGATAGTAAACTAAATGTCCTGATGCCGTATTTTCTGCTGTGCAAACGATTAATTGCAGTGCTTTTATTTATAAGGGAACAGGAAGTTCTCATCCACAATTTTACTCTGACTTCCTTAGCTGGTTGTTATAATGGCAGCTGAAAGACAATAGTCACATGTATGGTAGATGAAGGGCTTGCTGCTGTATTTGAATTTGTTGACATTGTCTAACAGATGCTTTTAAGCTCAGTGAGGAAGGGAAATTTTCTTGTTTCAAAGAGGCAAGTGAATGATGTAACATTTTTCTTGTCATGTCGGTGCATTTTTTTTCCACAAAGTACTATCCAAATAGAATAAAAGACTTCTGCTCTCTTAGAGTTTACAGATAAAATAGATGTGATGCCATAAAATCAGTGGGGGGTTGTTTTTTAAAGCTATGTAAGGCTTCTGCTGTTTCTTTCCATTAGTGACATCTGATGGATAAAATCAGCCAGCCTTCCTGTTCTGAGGATGCTTGACAGTTGGACCTGTTGAGCTTGTGAAACTCCATAGTGTTCATTAAACATAAAGGGGGGGAAGAAAAAACCAAATGTTGGAAACTGCCTGACAGATGTTCAGAAGCTTCAGCTGTGAGAAGCATATGAGGTTTTATAGCTTGGAATGATTGAAACATACTATAAGCATGTGGCTATTTGAAGCATGCCGATGCCTTGTGGATTTTTTGTCCTCTATTAATATTTAGTAAGTAAATTTTTTTTGTTTTGGCTTTTTTTTAAGTGTTGCATAAGGTTTAGCTTTCTCTGCTAGTTCTTGGTTGATCATAACTAACAAAAACTAAATAATTGACAAATAGTCAAATTTAAGCACTTTGAATAATGAAGGTGGAAAAATTATTTGCTCTTTAAAAAAATGCATTATGTAATTTACTAGTGGAGAGTTTCAAGCTGGAGACTGATGTGTTGGAAGCTCATAAAAAGTAAAAGGCACTAAATCTGGAGCTCAGGTTACTGGACACAGTCTTCAGTGGGAGCGCTGAAGGATCGATAGTGTAAGCAAAATGTTGCTTTCAGCATAAAGATGTACATGCCAACATTATTCTGCCCACATAATAGAGAACGAGTTTGGTTATTGCTGTGTGTAGAAAAAGGAGGGGATAGAGAAGCTACAACAAAACCCACAAAAAAACCCAACCCAAACCCTACCTAGAGTCTTCAATCATTATGGATACTGTTGTGTTACATAAAGGGAAGTAATTACATTGTGTTTACCGTGTCTGTAGTCCCACTAGTAGATTAAAACTAGTTGGGTCAAACCTAAATTTTTTGGCTTGTTTTTTTTTTTCCTGGTATGCTTCTACTTTGTATTTCAGTTGACAAGTGCATGTATTCTGGTTCATGAGTTATGAAAGCATTTGAATAAAGCTAATGTGAAGGAAACTTAACTAGGTCTAAGGCAAGCAGATAGGAAATCAGCCAGAACCACTTCATCAAACTGCTTTAGCAACAACAGTATCTTGCCTGCATGCATTAGAGGAAAACTGTACTTCTTTTGTATTCTATTAAAAGAAACTGATCTTAAATTAGAGGAGATAGATATTTAATCTACTTTACAGTCGGTTTTTTAACTTCCTTTCTTCAGAGTGCAAATAACTATACTGGAGATTTCTGTCCTTGCTCTTCTGTTAATTCCTGTTCATGAGGGAAGAGTTGTGAAGAAAAGATTCAGTGTGTTGTCTGCATTATCGCAGTACTTGTATGAAAGACAGATGTCAGTGACCCTCCCCAGCTAAATATCTCTCAGTCTTTGCACCTGGTTTCCTTCATTCATTTTTCCTCATCTGGAGGATTTGAAAGTGAAGTACATTCAGCTGTAACTTCTCCAAAGCACTGGGGCATGTTCAGGAAGGCCCTCTGTGGTATCAGTGCTTGACTTAATAAATCTAAGCAGTTGGCACGAGGAGCTGTTTTTCATTACATTTCTAGCAGATGTTCTGTTCTTAGAATAGTCTTTTGTGTTAGTATAAGGTTTGGATCAGTGATTATGTAGAGTATACTGCACATGTATATTCTGAGGGTAAACAGCTACTGGTATGGTGACTGGAATTCTTAATGTGTATTCTTTCTGAACTGGATTTCTTTTGTTCTAAAGGATATAGGAAGGAATTAGTTTATGTGGTGATAAGATCCACAGTGATCTGTAATACAGACCACCGGGCAGGATTAAGATTACGTTCACGAGCCAGATATGTTAAACACTATACCTAAAAACCACCACAGCAATGAAAAACCTTATTCAAGCTTATCCAAGGTAATGCATGCACAGACAACACATCTGAGAACTGTTGCACAAAAAAAACCCTGTACTTGTCAGAAAATGTAGACTTTAGGTACCTTTTTTCAAATGACCTGTTTGTCTTTGTGGTATACAGTTGTTCTTGGCGTATTTCCCTGCTGAGGGCAGTTGGACAAGATGATCTTTACATGTCCCTTCCAACCTTAGTAATTTTGTGATTCTGTGATTTATCCTGTATATTCATGCAGCAGCTAATGAATAATGTTGTTAAAGTGCAGTGCAGAAGTCTGAGTACTTTTGAGTTTGACTTCAGTTATTCCAATAATACAGTGTCAAATGAAGGCCAGTGATACGCAACTTGTCAACACTTTATGGCAGTTTTGTATTGGAAGTGAAGGACTAGCCAACTGCATGATGTAGGTAGAGAGAGGACAGTTGTTCAGAACTGTACCTAGGTTGCCTGTTGATTAGGTGTTGAGACTAGAATCTCTGTTCTTATGCACTCTGTATCTTTACTATCCATGAATGATATTTCAAAAAAAAACAACAAACAAACAACCCAAGCATCTCTTGTCAGAAATAGTGCTTTCCTAAAGCATAACTTTAAATATACTTTTTCTCACTGTGTAGTGTTATGGTCTCCCTTTTCTCTAAAGTTGGAGGTGGAATTGCCTGTACATTTCGTTACAGCTAGTAATAACAGTACACTAAAAAGCCTATATTACTTTTACAATCTAAATATCACCTTTAAGCCTGAATTTAGTTACGAGAATCTGGTATTATTTAACAGGTTCTCTAATAAAGAAGCAGTAAAGAGTGTAGGATCGTGTTTCTTTTTGGATCAGCTTTTCAGTACAATAGTTTAAGAACTGACTTGATTTTGGGCTACTTGTGGGGAGAAAAGAAAAACAACAAACTAACAAAAGAAAACCTTAGGAGAATGGATTTACTGCAACTTTTAATTCCATACTTGTATCTTGTTACAGTTTGTTATGAAACCTCGTATCAGGAACTTGATGAGATGGGAGCACCTGCCAAAGTTATTTTATCGGTCGAATGCTTTGGGGTTAGCTTGCACGTATTTGTATAGCTTCCTGACACTTCCTAGCTGGAATAAAGTAACTGCTTCAGCCCTTTGTCTACTTCACTTTGCTCAAATGCTGTTTGAAATTGATGCAGTTAAAATAAGAGACGTTTATTCCTTGAGTTTACAGATCACTTTTTTGTGGTACTGTAGTACTTACGGGAATATTGAACATGAAGTTATGCCTTTGGAGCTAAAGCAGGATTATTTTTTTTTAAGGGATTATTAAAACCAAAATACTATGAAATTTTTATTTTTTTTTAAACTTAAAGCTAAGCACACATATGCTCATGGATGTGAGCTTTTCAGGGGTTGCAGATTTCATGAATGCTTACGTATTTTATGGAGAGAATTCTTTGGGAGTCATAGGTGAAATTATGAATCACTACAGAGTTACCAGTTTTAACATGAGAGCTATGAGTAGTTTTCTGTGAAGAGTAACACAAGTGAAGACATTATGAAGTATGCTGAGCCACTATTCTGTATTTCTCCAAGAAAAGCACCATTGGGAAACAAAGTCACAAATTACCAGCTATGAATTTCTAGTGATTTTGATGATGACATTAAATACTACACGTTCTGGTTTTCTAACAGCTGTGTTAAAGAAAGATACTGTATGAAGCTGTGGTTCTTCTAAGATTGTGACATGTCCCACACCCTTCCTTCCTTGTGTGCACAATAAAAATGATAGGTGTTGCTTGGACTCATTCCATCTCTTTTTTTCTTGTTTTAAATATTTTTCCCCAACACGATGGTGTACATTCACTGTTATTTTTGATGCTGCCTGAACAGAAGCCTTGAAAGAGGAATTGCTAACTTGCCTTGGGTGAAAAAAGACTGAACGCCTTTGTTACTGAATCATATTATTAAAAAAAAGAGGAAAGAGATGAGTAAAGGGCCACCACTCCTTGTGATTGCTTCTTGTAAAAATATAGTCAATGTCTTTTACCAGCAGTCCTTTAGTAGCACAAATTGTCTTGCTGTTGGGAAAGGGACAGGGGAAAGGGTGGGTTTTTTTCTTATTCCATTTAAAAGGAAATAAAAGAGTTATACAGATGAAGTAACATCTAGCTTTCCTCAGGGCTATGCTGCAGTAGTACTATGCTGGGGGCCCTAGAAGTGCACATGGGACTGTCCTGTCTCTGCTAGAATCTCTTGAGATTTATAGGGAACTCTCGGGTAATGCTAGGGCTACAAAAAGCCACCGAGTAGAAGAAAAAAACATCTGCTGTTTCTGAACATACCTGAATCGAATGGGAGCTTTTGATTCTTCCAGAATGTTTTGCTCTTTTTCTATGTATAACTTTGTGATTGTTCAACATTTGTCTGGAAGAACTGAAAATACAGGGGTTACCCTCTCTCTAAAGGATTGCTGCTAGTAACACTTAGTGTTCTGTGACACTTCATTGCAATGAATAAACATAACTTACTGTGGCTTAAAGTTGGGAACGTAACTTAATATTCATGTGTAAATTTAAAATAGAAACAGGTTGTATTCTTGGAAAAACGTACTTCTCTGTTAAGGTAAATCCTGAAATGAGACTGAAAATCACAAAGAAAGTTAACTTTCTTCAACCTACCTTTAACAGTCTGGTCTATCGAAGAATCAAATATTTACCTTGAAGTTTGCAGCTGTTGCAGCAGTTACAGTACATTGCATGCTATCAAATATCCCAACTGAACAATACATTGCTATGTTCTGTGAGTTAGCTCTGGATTGACTACAGGACAAAAACTGATTCATTATGAGTCTTTAGGGAACTGGCTTAATTACCCTATATGCTTTTCTTAACTAAGGCCATGACACTGGGGGGAACAATGGGTATTCTCCAACAGGGGTGAGTTTTTAGTTAGGATAAAACACCAGAGCACCAAAAGGAGAGGTAATGACTTTAACTTGCATTCCTGTTCAACAACTTATTCATGAAACTACCCTTGGGGGTTTGGGTTTTTTTTGGTGTCTTCCTTTTAATCAGTCCAATTTTGTTCTGTCAACTTGAGTTGAAATCAGAAGCTTCCTTGAGTGCTCAAAGTTTAGGGGCTCCATAAGTGAAAATAGTTGAGCACTCTCTGAAATTGAGAAAAGAACAAAATGAACTGGGAAATTGAAAGCCCTAATGAAAAGACAAGAATTAAATTCACCACTGAATTTCAGGTCAGCATTCACATGCAGGTTTCTCATAGCTGCCTATGCAATTCTAATACTGTGTCTTGCTTGCATAAATAAAAAGTGTAATACCCTGATACTTAAGGGCAGTAATTGAATGCCTCTTAAGGACATACAACTCATATGCTAGTTCTTGTTCGGCGGATATCTTGGGACTGGAGGCTATGTGTGGTTTTGGTTTTTATTTTGTCTTACAAGAGTTCTGAACTGAGCCTGTTCACCTCGCAGTGGGGATGGGGGGGTGACACACATGATGACATAGTGGCAAAACCCCAAACCAAGCAAACAGAGAAAGCCCACCAATCCCCCCTCCCAAACACATATCTGGAATTAAAATGAGTGAACAGTTCTCTAGCAGCAAAATTTAGTATCTGGTAGTTTTTCCTGGAAGATAATTAACTATATGATCCAGTTGGGTGGACTTTCAGTTGAAACTTCCCTGTTCCATGACCAATAACATTTTATTGTTCTCTGTGTATGTTGCTGTTGTCGGATGAAGTGTAGCCTCAATAATAGGGCATTTAGGTGACTGGGAAATAAAACCCAATACATCTGTATTATTTCAAAAAAACTTTCAGTTCATTCTATTGCAAAGTGATTTTTGTTGTCTTACACGTGGGAATCTGTTCTCTCTGCTGACTGCAAAAAATGAGGTGTAATCTAGTCGAATAGATATGCAAGATGAGGGAAGGTGTTACGCTAACTGCTGTTGGTCTTCCCAGGTTTATATTTTGGGGGCATACTTTCTGTTGAAAATAACATGAAAAAATAAAACATTAGAACAAAAAGAAGTGAAAAGGACATGAGCGTATTGGGATAAAACCAATTGCCTAATGGAGATTGAAAAATAAAAGAATGTAGCTAATAATCTGAAATGTTTTTCCTTTTTTGAACATAACTTCTGAGCTAATTTCTTGCAAGGAGAAGTCTACTTACATGAAACAAAATACTGGGTGTTTGAGTAATGTATGTGAATACATTCTTACTGTGAACAAGTTGTAATTCTGTGTGCTTCTGTAAGCTATTATAATGGCTTATATATTGAAATGAAAGTACAGAAATATGTATCAATGAAAAGTATAGAAAACTGAGACTTTTCCTAACTTATTACGAATTTTGTAATAAGAAAAATAATTTTTCAGACACAGGCTTCATGTCCTGTTGATCGCAAACCGTTTCAGGCAGTATGCAGGCTCGATGCATTAAAAGAGCAGATAAAGGTAAGTTCCAGACATACTTTCTTAAGAAACTTCAGTAGTAGAGAAAAAGCAAGTTATGCCACAACCTTTTATTCGTATGTCTGTGTTAAATGAGCTTTTCTAATGAAATAATTATTGCTTTAATGTTTCTGTTACATATTTGAAGCTAGGAATTATTCTTAATTGTATTTTTTTCAAAGTAAGTTTTTACAGTAATAATAATCACAAAGCCGCTATTGATACTTTATAGCGTCTTTGAGTGTTCCTGATGTGTCTAAGAATGGAAGTATAGTAATTGGTCTCAGCGTGTTTTTAACTAGATTTTGTAAACAAGTGCTATATCAAGTAGCACACGCTCTTGTCTTTTTTTTTTCTGAGGTGAAACTTTTATGTTCACAGCCTTCAGTTCCCAGACAAAAACACATTAAGGCAAGAGGAATCAATTAGTGCTAAACCTCGCTCAACCTAAATTTCTGTTTTTGTTTTTTTTTTCCAGCTGAAATTCTTAATAATACTGCTGCTGCTTTGGGGATAAGTTTCTCAAGTAGGAAAATAAAACGTTCTTCTGATAAATGATCTTGAAAATGTATATATAGAATGATGCTGAGAATTCTGTGAACAGTTTTGAAATTCTGTGGTGAAATTACGGCTATCAGAAATTTCTAAGGTGGTGTTTTTGCATTTTGAAAATAAAAAATTTTGGAAAGGTTTAGAAAATAGGCTCCTACTGCCCATTTCTTGTGCTTCTAGAGGCTCAGGTGATCAACTGCAGAAGAAGCATCCTCACATCCTCACAGCCACAGATAACTTCCTTCTCATAGAAAACCACACTGGTGTATTTTATCTTCTTTATTTCTAAAGAATCAAGCAGCTGGAACAAGTTAAACTGAAGCTTTCATTTGGAAGTTTTCAAGTGGAAGAGCGTAAAGGCTGTATCAAAATACAGTTTGAAAGGTTCTTTATTTGTAGAACTGCAGTGTAAACAGGTGAGCACAGAATAAGGGTCCTGCTCTGAAAAAGAGCCACTGGAGCATAGGGGTAGATGGAATTTGTACGCAGAAATGCTGACACAGTAGTCAATATTAGCTGTGGCACAATCAGGACATTGGCAGTTTTCCCTTTGTGACAGTCATAACTAGAATGCTAATAGCTTAAGGAGTTGCATATAAAGCCAGGATTCTAGAATGAGGAAGTACAGAATATCTAATGCTAACAATTGCAGTGTAGCCATTGAAGTAAACTTTGTAATATGTAATAAAAAGTTTTACATCTGTCTTAGAATTTTGAAGATGGGGAGCAGGGGTTGAAATGTGATGTAAAATCCATAATTTGTTATACTCCAGAGGAAAATCAAGTGCATTTTAATTATGAGGAAGTATTTGAAATTGGTAGTTCAGCATTTTCCCAAGCTGAACCTTACGTATTCAGATCAACCAACTTAGTTTAAAAAAATCCTGAGCTTCCAAATTCTTGGTGGAAGATAGTTCATAGCTTTGAGCTACTTGCCATGGCAGTCTGAATGTTCAGGGATTTTTGGTCTTGTGGAATTCGTATGCATCTCTGGCATAGCCAGTGTACATCTTGAGGTGGGATTTTTTCCTATTTCATGAAAAACAAATGAAAGAAAAAATCAAGTCTGCAAACTGAGATTAAAAAAGTAGTAATATGAAATGTCTTCAAGTTCCTGTATTTGAGCTCGTTTTCTCTGTAGATCTTAACCATCTTTGAATAAATTTAAAGCCCATGTGTATTGAGATGCTAGATTGGATTGATTTTATTTTTCAATACAGGTTCAGGTTAAAAAGCAACTAAGGAGAAAGGAAGAAGACAAACACTGTGCCTGCAATAAGGGAAAATATAGCCATGCTAAGAGAAGAAACTTTGTGAGGTTGGTCATCCTTGTAGTTTCAAGCATTCTAGTTGGTATATTCAAAATATATAAAGTCAATTGGTTTGAGGTATACACCCCAGAAAAATTCTAGAAAAAATAGTTTATTTTAAAATAAACTATTTTGCATCAGTGGTACTTTAGCTTTACTTTTTTCACTGATGTAATTCCCACTTGAATACTTACAATAGCAAACAAGAAGTAAGGAGCAGTGTATTTCATGCATTGAGTTCTGTAAAAGTTGCATTTTTGAAGACATTCTGTCAGGTTTTTTTATTAATTAGGATTTTATGGCTAGATCATATTTTCACAATAGAAATCTTTCTCTTTGGTTATCTAAACAGACATCCCCTTTCTTGTATGTTATCATAAGCATTTGTGGTGTTCTTGTTTTACTATAAAACATACTTGTAGTCAAGAACTGATTTTATTCTAGTGAGATTGAGAGGGGATGTAGAAGTAACATTCCTGTTTTGAGAAGCTTTATCTTGTCATTTGCTGCATTGTATAGAGGGAAGCTCAGGATTACACAGACAAATTTCACTAACTAGTGATAATCTAAAGCTAGGGTTTCATGAGATGTATGATATATAGAGTTCTTGAGATTACATTTGAAGCAGACTACTACAGAAAAGATAATGGGAAGTAAATTACCATTTTAGGGGTCTTGTTAGAATATAAATAAGGTTGAGCTTTGCCTCTTACTGTTCTGAACCACCGCTGACTTTGATATTCTCAAAAGTGTTTATGAAAGCAGGTTATAGCGTCTTTCACATGTGAAATCAAGCAAAATTAGTCATTCAGATTTAATATGCAGGATATCAACTTTTAACATGTAAATGGATTTTCTTTTTTTACCTCTGTAAGCTTTTTGAAGTGCTGTGGGGTTTAATATATGGAAGGTGATATACATGATGCAAGTTCAGGTTTGAATAGCAGGCAAAACTTGCACTTAAAGCACACGAAATGAAAATTCCTTAAAATAGGAGCTGATTTTGTTTGGATGCATACACTGTTAACTCAACTATGCCCAGAAATAACTCTTGTAATATTTTTTGTTAATCTTGCAGAAGAGCTGTATGTCCAGACAGAGGGCACTTAGCAGCAAGATTAAGCAAAGTTGTGAAGAAAAAATACAGTAAGTTGGTATTTGCTAGAATGTGCTAGATTTTGGTAGGGAACACTAGAATTTCTTTCCTGATGAGCCGATTTATTACTTTATTTTGATTAGTATTGCTTACATTTGGACATGAAAATCAAATACTAAGGAATAGAAGCATGAGCTTTAGAGAACAAAATTGCAGTATGTGAAACTAGTGTTGTTAGTTTACTTGAAAGACTGCCTCTTCAATTTCAGTTGCGAGTGAAATGGACATAGTTTAAGCCTAATGTCATTTTCTGCACAGCTCATGACTGGCTTTTATTCACGGGAAGCTTTTTCTGTGAGATTTCAGACACAAGAAAGCACTTAGCTGTATTTTGGGGTTGCTGTTTAGAGAGGCTTGTTTAATAGATATTGTTGGGCAAGTGTGTTTGTAACTTCTGAAATTAAGCAAGTATCTGAGGTGAAAAGGGCTCGATAGATATGAAGCAATTGTGAAGGTGTATGCCTTTTTAATTTTACTGAGTTTATATGTAAGTACATTATGAATACGCTCGAGATACATTTTCATTAACCTCTCATTGCACTTACGATATTGATAATTAAAAACTAATGCTGAATTTAAGATTGGAGTTTTGTTTCTTATTGCACACAGGTAATATTTTGTATGACAAACGAAACAAGAAAGCTTTGTCAGTGAAGATAAACAAGGTTAGTTCTGATAATGAAACATCTGGGAACTTTTTTTCATGAAAGTATTTATAAAGCTACTTTCTGCTTATTTTTAAGATTAACTTCTATTTGTTAATTTTAGTGTGATTCAAACTATGGGGGTTTTGTCTTGAAGGTGTTAATTAGAATATAATGCCAGGTGATACGAGCTTCTCAGACTAAACAGCTTTGTGGTGGTAAATACTTTCATTTGGATTAGGCTGTTACATTATAAAACACTGTAACTACCCTTTTTTCACTTTCTTCACCAGAAGAAGATGGTGTCAGCTACAAGATGCTAACCAAGTACCATGATATGAAGGTTTTCATTATTCCCATGAAAATACATAGGTCTAATCAACCAAGTAATAAGCAAGGGATGTTTGCCGTGGTCTTTTCAGTAGCTGGTGGCCTGAGTTGTCACTTTATTTAGTGCTTATACACCATAGTTCTCAGAGGTATCTTAAGCTCCAGCCTTCCCCCTTCTAAATCAGCTATTTAGAAATTTTGTTTCTTTTACCATTAAAGGTACCTTCCATTTAATTGAAGAGGTTTTGAACTGGAAGGATAGGGCTTAATGGTAGATCCCTGTCTAATTTGTCTCCAGGACTGGTAAATGCTTTCCTATCTGGCTTCACTGATTTACTGTGCACTGTTAAATAGCATTAATGTCTCAAATGGTACCTGTTGCAAAAAAGGTGCATAAGCAAAAGCAGAACCATTAAAAACCTTCATGAGGAGGTACAGGGCTGAATTATCCAGTGAACTGTCAAAATTTAAAATAAAAGAAAGCACTGATTTACAAAACTTCACCTGTTAAGGATATTTGGGGAACATTTGGATAGCTTTTTTAGATGGAGGGAGAAATGTTAATGTTCACAATGATAGTATTTTTAAAATAAAACTTGAACAACAGCTTTTTAGGAGAAGCTTAGTATTTGCACACTGTTGCAACAGGGCGTGTTCCCATCACAACCAGCTGCCTGTGCCGAAGTTTGATGGAGCATATGGGTAATGACTGCACATTTGGACAAGTATTTATATACAGGAATGTTTAGTCAGATTCAAGGTGGCATTAACCCGTTAGGTGAAAGGGTATAAATGGGTCAGTGCAGGTAAGTGTGTCAGTCTGGTAGTCTAGAAAAAGTGTCTAGAGGGTTGTTGTTTGGGGTTTTTTTGGCCCTGCAGCCAGCCCAGCACACAGCAGCAGAGTCTGCTGCCCACAAGGCAAAAGGAGTTACGCTGACATTCAGTGGGTGGCTAGGTGTTGTTAACAATTGCAATAGAAGGTGGTATTTGTACAAATATGAAGTGGATTCTGAGTATTATGCCTTTGCGTGAGGACCCAGTAAACAGACACACCAGTCAATCTTCTTTCTGTAATCCTACCTGAAGGCACAGGAGAATCCCAGCTACTTGCATTTAGGTTTTCTTGTTACTCTGAAACCAAACATTCACTGAACTGCTGCAAAGGGCTCTGTCTGGAGGTACTAGTGCTGTAACTCCTGCTTCTTTAGGTAACAGAAGCAGAAATTGTGAAATAGTAAGGATTAGGCTCATTTATTCATCATTTCTGTATGGAGCATTAAAGATTTTGCCTATGCAAAATACAAAGTTCATCTGCAAAGAGCAGGTGTTGAAAATTTGGAGACTAAATGGAGATTTGTTTGTGTAACTGCAGATCTCTGCATATAACTATGAAGCTACCATGTGCCTGCTTTTTGTGAGTTAGTCTTGCTGATGTGGTGTAAATTCAGTGCATCTTAATGTATTATATGTTAATTATTTTATTCTGGAAATCTTTAAACCGTGATATTTCTTTTGTAGCCCAGAAGACAGACCTGCTGGAATGAGTGCTTCAGAACTAATTTCTTCAGCACACTTCCAGCTGGTGGTAGCAATGAAGAGTCCTCTTTTAGCTGTAGAAATGACTGGTTAGTATATACTAGTGCTTAAGAGAAACTGATTGGTTACTGTATTGCAGGTGCTATAGTTCCTTCTGCTTCTGTCTGTATATACTAGCTTGAAATATTTTGAAGATTGTATTTATTAAAGGAGAAACACAAACCTGTTAAAATTAGTATTGTTGCAGGCATTGTTACCTCTATTTCTGTCTTGTGCTCAGTATTTAAATACATGCGTGTGCATGCTTTTAATCTCACTGATTTAATAGGAGTTAATAAGTTTTATTTTTAGCTCATATTTATTCTCTTTGCTGAATTGAAGCCTTGGGTAAGAAACGGTTACTCTCTTTATTCCGGCAGCAGTTAGCAAAGCACTTAACAGTAAATACCCTGGTTTGTATCAGAAAGAATCCGGTTGATTGTTCCTTGATTCCAAGAGGAATACCTTAAACATACATGAAGCAGTTTTGCTTAATGAGCCTAATACATAAGAACTGGTAAAAAATCTTTCTTGGTTGATAAGATGGAAGAAAAAGAACAGTCTGGAAGAACATTTATTTGAATAATATGGCCTAATAAAAAAAAACACTGGGTATATGTTTTCAGCAGTCTGTAAAAGAAAAATTGCCATGCGTGCAACAGTATTACTTTGTCAAGGATGCAAAGTTCCTCCCATCTTTCAACTCCCCATAGGCACGTCTCCTGTTTTCTGTTCTGTCTGCCTCATTTATGTAGAGCTGTACCATTTACTATGACTGCTCTAAAAAATAACCATGCATAGTTTCATCGTGGCTGTTAAAGTTCTAATATAGTTAATATTTTTTAAAGGTCATTGATAGAAGTAGTCTTTGAAAATTATGGTGATACGGAGTTACCATTTGTAACTTTTTGTATGAAATTTGTATTTCAGTACAGAATTGACAGAAGTTGATGCAGCAATCAGACAGAAGAGACAAGCACTGGAATTGTCCTGTTCATCTGCGATTGCTAGAGTTGAAAGGTATGTGTTTTGCATTCATAGTGCAAAGGCTCTTAATGTAAGACTTCAAGTTTGGAATTTGATGAATTCAGATTACTCTTTAGATAGAGTATCATTTGATCATAAAACTAAACAGTGTTTGCATGTAACCTGTTAAATTTTTGTGTATTTGTCACATGCTATTTTTATGTCAGCAGATTATTTTCTGTATACCTTAATGCTTTTCTGATACTTACGACAAGCATAGTAACTCCAGTGATTGTGCATCTTAATATGCACAAATGTGCTTTAATATGTTTTGTATTTGGAAGTTAGTGTTCCATGTGCTGTTTGAATTATTACTATCACTAGAAATCAGAATGTTTGCTTTAACATGAGTCAAATTCTGATTTTTCCACCCACTTCCAATACTCCTTTCTCGTGCATTGGTTCTGACTTCTTTCTGTAACTGTTTATAAACAAATGCATTTAGAAGGAGATAGGAGGGGTTCTATCAAGTGAAACATAGAACATAAAGTAATTTCTTTCGTCAAAGAGCAGATGAATGTTAAAATACCCTAAGGGTGTTTTCATGAATATAAAGCAGAAGCATAAAACCCTCCTGATTTTAAAATAACATGGTAATAAATTAGTCTGTGATCTCAGTTTCACTACATATCTCTTTACTTTCTTTGGCATAAAACAAAGGCTAAAGACAGAAGAGCAAGTAAAGACATTTTTAATTGTAAGTTGGAAGTAGGATTCAAATATTAATTTTTTTTACACATACTCTTCCTTATGGAAAGTTTCATTCCAACTTGGTGATAACTGAAAAATTGTAGATGGGTAACTAAACTCTGAGTGCACAGGGTTTGCTGAGGGAGTCTAAATAAGTATGTATTTGTTTGGTTTGGTTGGGGAAAAAGAGAAGCCACCTTTACTAAATTGTCATGTTAGATTTTGATGCACAAAAAAAGGCTGTTCTGCTAAAGTGCTAAGTCAGTGTTCTATTTTCAGTAGTAGAGCCTACTAATTTGGAGGAGACTGTTCTATGTTTGGCTTTGAAGAAAGCCAAGTGCGTATTACTTTAACATAACATAACTTGTTCAAACTGTTTTACTAGGTTAGGCAATAACATAAACGTGAAATTAAATATGAGAAGGGAAGTTTTGTTTGCTGTCAGCTTTGCCTTTCTCTCCAGCTGTGGTGAGGCTGGAAGTGTCACAGTTGCCGAATGCTTTGGTTTTGTGCATTGTTTCCAAACCTTGCTACAAACCGCTAAAACAACTCATGCTAATACTCTTACTTTTGCAGAATTCCTTTAATGTCTTACGGAGCTGAAGCCGAGACCTTTCTTCTCACTTCTACTACAGTGGCAGGGACAATTCTTCCAACGAATGTCAGGCCTTTGGAAAACTTTGGTAAACTTTTTTTTTGTAAGTTTTATTTATAGCTCATGTGGAATACTGTTAAATTAGATCCTTAGAAAGTAAAGTGGAATATATAGTTACAGTTAACGGGGGGGGGAAATGTTTTGGTGCTTTTTGGTGCTATTTCAACATCATCTGGTCTGTTTCTGAAATTAGAATATAGAAGATGAACCAGCCACCCCAAAACGTACTTAAGTTTTCTTCCTTTGAAGATGAAAATAAGTATTGTATGTGACTTAATTCCATTTCTAAATTGAACGCTTTCCTTATTGTTACAGCTTCTTTTCTTACTGCTCAAGGATAAATCTTATTTTGCTATATTATGAATGGCTTGATATATTTCAGCGGTATATTGTGCAGTGTGAAGACCAAGTTTTTTCCTGACAGAAGAGTAACGAGGGAACAGTGCAGTGTATGGATCTGTTTCATTATGCCTACAAGCTCTACAGGGCAAAAGCTTGCAGAAGTGCTTGAGTTCCAGGATCTGGCAGGAATATAGCAGAAGACCTTCTTCCAGTTACTTTAACAGCCTCTTTCTCCATAGTCGGCAAGAATTTAGTTTCTCTTCCAATAGGCTGCGCAAGTTCAAAGAAGTGAAAACAAAAGAATGATGGGTTTTAAGGCTAGGGTTAACACCTTCTCTGAACTGGGAATTGCACTATTTTCACTTGACTAGTAGGCAAAGAGAGAGGGGAGATCTGGGTCTCATGGCTTACAAAAATTGAGGACGTGAACGTCTGGGAAGAGTTTAGTAGAAAGATTGTGGAAAAAGATGTTTTACTCATTCATATTCTTCATTCTTTTTAAAGGTACATATTTCACCTCCACACTGACCAGTGAAAAATGTATAGGATGCTCCCTAGGGACTCTGATGCTTGGCAATGCAATTTAACTATTTCAGCTTCTAGTACTAATGAGTATACATGCTAGCTCCTATCTCTTGACTTCTAATCACATTTCTACTTACACAGTCAGGCTTCTTTGTTAGTATGCACCAGAAGCATTTTAAAAACAACAAAACCAACCACCAACCCTAAAATCACTTTCTTCTCTCATCAGAAAGATAAAGAATATTTAAATAAGCTACAGATTATTTTTCAACATTAGGATGTTTAGAATATGTGAATAAATAGCCTAATGTTGTGTGTGTGCTCACAGCCGAGAAACCAACCGTATACTGGGCTGCTTCAAAAGAAGTGTGACCGTCGGGTTGAAGGAGGTGATCCTGTCCCTCCACTCTCGTGAGACCCCACTTGGAGTACTGTGTTTAGCTGTGGTTTCCTTCCAGAGGAGGGCCATGAGGATGATCAGGGGACTGGAGCATCTCCAGTATGAAGACAGGCTGAGAAAGTTGGGGCTGTTCAGCCTGGAGAAGAGAAGGCTGCATGGAGACCTCATAGCAGCCTTCCAGTATCTGAAGGGGCCCTACAAGGTTGCCAGAGAGGGTCTGTTCTTCAGGGACTGTAGTGATAGGACAAGGGGTAATGGGTTTAAACTTAAGCAGTAGAGATTTAGGTTGAATGTAAAGAAGAAGTTATTCTGAGGGTGGTGAGGCAGTGGAACAGGGTGCCTGAGGAAGTTGTGAATGCTCCATCCCTGGGTTGGACAGGGTCTTGGGCAACATGGTTTAGTGTGAGGTGTCCGTGCCTATGGCAGGGGGGTTGGAACGAGGTGATCCTAAGGTGCTTTGCAACCCAAACCATTCTGTGATTCTGTGAATTGTTGATAATATCAGCAGCTAATTTATAAATGCTCATAACGTTGTCAACTCCTAAGGCAGAACACGGAACTAAATCCTTTATGCTGGTTTTGGGGAGAAGTGGCAGATTCTGAATTTGAGTCTTGATAAGGGAAGAGAAGGAAATTCTTTTTTTTTTCCCTCCAGATATTTTTGTCTTACAACTCATAGCGTTGCCTCCAGAGTTGTGCTAAGGGTCATAGAAGTATCAGTGATGTATAACTACTGCCTGAATCTTCCCTGCAGCTGCAGGCATTTTTAGATTCTCTGACCACTAAATAGTCTTTTTACTAATTTGACCTGAAAATGCATTGGTGAATCTACAAATACCATAATGGTTTAGGTTGGCATTAGGCAATTCTTTTGCGTGATTAAAATATTTTTAAATAAAGATTCAGTGGGCTGAAATCCCTTGTATTTGGTCCAAATCCAAAGCTGGTGAAGCTTGTCAGTTAAAATTTACAAGTAGTAAGGAATGCTAGAAAGGGGGCTGTGTTTCACAAGTAGACTTTGAAAGTGCCACAGAAATAACTTGTCTTTTAATTCTGCCAGGATTCCCACATTCCATGTGTATTCTGGTGGTGGCACTGGTGGTTGTTGTTATTAGAGGGTGATTCTTTCCCCGTGAAGAAAATAACCACAGATACTAAATACTTGTTACAACATGTAACATCTGACATGCTTTCCTGGCTGTTGTAGTAGGTGTGAAGGCAGAGAGACAGCCCCCATGTGGTGGAGTAACTGCTGGCTAACCACTGTGGAGTCCCTTTCTAACAAAAGTACTGGGCAAACTGTTACAGTAGATACCTCAAATAGTGTGAGTCACCTAAAACTCCTTTGGAAGTTCTTTACAACACACATTGTTTGGTTTTTAAGTACCTAGTACCTTCTATACAGTGGATACTGTTGGGTTTCATTATCTGGAGTGGTAATTTGATCATTTTTGATCAGACATCCAAAACTGTATTTTTTCATGTGCAGGCAAATTATGATGTTTACAAGTGAGGTCAGAGGAGGCAATTATAATCCTGTGCTCTGTTCTAGCCTTTTAAAGGCTAGCTAGGTGCTTGTGAAGTTAATTCTCTAACGTTATCAGGTTACATGTTTGAATATAATTGGCAGTGATAATTTTTTCATTCTGCTAACAAAGTAGTAAGGCAGTGGAAAGAGACTTTTGTGTTGTTACTCACTTGTCTTATTCCTATCTTATTTTTATATAATCTATTTAAGAATACATTAAAGAAGTATATGTGAAACAATAATGTTATACAGAGAATTAGAGTCAAGTGTTTTAGTGTGATGTGATAAATTTATTGCAAAAATCCATAGCAGTTAATCTTAGCAAGTTTCCACTATTTGTGCATGAAATGGAAGCTGTAAAAAGAATTAATTTAAACACCAAATTCTTGATGCTTTCTGAAATCTACATATAGTGTGAAACAAAGTAACGGGAATCTCAAGAAATTTCGTTCTGAAGTGTTACATTCAAGTATATTTTCTTAATTATCATTAGTCTTTAATTCCTTAGCTGTTCCGCATTAAATTCGTTTCTCAGGTATCAAGAGTACAGTCTGTTCCCTTTGGAGTGAATATAACCCTTGGCTTCCCTACAAAGATTTTTGTCCAATTGTGGGTAGCGTGAAATAAATTAATGCAGTATCAACAGAAGAACTCTTTTGCTGCTATATGTGACTTACAGTTATTCTTATAGCTTTAGTTTTGGGGTTAAACTCCTAGCCCATCCCAAGACTTGCACTCGATTCAGTTTGTTAGGTGCTGTAGGCACCCTGGGTGCCTTGTTGGAAGCTTTAAGTGCAGTTTGCTGTGGAGCGTGCAAGGTCTGTCTTATAACTGGTGAAAGAGTTTGCACTGTCCAACATTTGATTTTGTAGAGAGATACGCTGTCGTTGCTGCTTCCCACGTGGTCATCCACTGATGGCCATTTAACAGTATCACTGCCTGTGGTACTGAGGCTTCACTGCCAACAGGTCTAGATTATAGAATGCCAGGAACTGCTATGTGCTGTGGCAGCATTTCATACTGAATCTTAAATAGTATTAATTGAGGATATCTGTCGAACCAGTTATGTTTTTAACTGTTTGGATAAATGGTTATTACCAAACTTTAATGAATTCTGCTTTTATTAGAATCCTTAGGTAAAGGATATGCTGTTGCATGTACCCAAGAAGGAGAAGAGAAAAAGCAAGCTTCTGGTTCATCTGGTGCTAGAGGAACTAGAAGGAAATCGGTTACTACTACTCCTAGAAGAAGGTCTGCACGAAACAGCAAAAATGAGACTCTGGGTCCATCTCGGAGCTCTCCTCGGTCAAGCAGTTCTGCGTGCAGTGCCCCTGATGGCACCAACCCATCTCTGAATAAATCTCCTTCAGAACCAGAGAAGGCTCCTCCAAAACGGAAATCTAAACGAACAGTTAAACAACAAACACCAGTGGCTAAAAAGAAACTGAGAAGTTCTGCACGTTCTGAAAAGTCACCCAGTGATTCAGTGGAAGATGATGATGTTGCTGAGCCTGAAGCAGTTATATTAGATAAAGACCAACAGTCAGATAATGAAAATACAAGCCTTCCACAGAAGGATAACACAGAAACAGAACCTGCTAATGGATTGGAAAGCTGTAGTGAACATGCAGAAACTGAGGAAACCACAGGAGAATATGACAAAGATGAGAATACTGCAGGCAGTGTGGATGCAAGTAGTTCTAATGTGCAAGAGCCTCCTCCAGTGCTAACTTCAGGAGGTGAAAATCAGGAAATCAAAGTAGAAGGTGCTACTGAAAAAAATGCGGATCTTAAGGATCAGGAGATCTGTGAAGATACTCTTGAACAAATGGAAACAGTAGCTAGTCCCAAAGATGAAGTGTGTGATCATGCAACTGTTGAAGAAGTAGATCAGACATTGTCTACTCCTCAGAACGAATTAATGGAGAATATAGAAACCTTGGCAGAAGTAGATCAACCCATAGCTAGTCCAGAAAATGAATTGTTGGAATTTCCAGAACCTTCAGGAAAAGATCAGCCATTAGAGAGCCCCAGAAGCAAATTGCCTGAATGCCCGGAAGCCATAGAAATAGATGATTCCAAGGCTGAAGAAAAACCAGTAGTAGACTGTACAAGTACAGATACTGAAAACTTAGAAACTCTTCAAGATGAAGAACCAGATACATTAACACACAATGTTTCTGTGGACAGTACATCAGAACAGTGCTTAAAAGAGAGCACTGTGAAAGAAAGTGAAGAAGGTAGAACTTCAGAGACACCACAGGTAAATGTTGAACATAAACATTTTGGTGAAGATAACAATGAAATGATACCGATGGATTGTGATTCATTTTGCAGTGACCAGAATGAAGCTCAGGTTGAACAGTTACCACCAGTTGAAAGTACAGAGCAAGACAAAGTAAACTCCTTACAGTGTGATGTGGAAAACTGTACATCAGTTTCAGGACTTTCTGATGAAAAAGATGAAACTGTTCCTCAAGAGAGAGAGTGCCAGTCTGAACTCAAGAAAGATAAAAAGGCTCGAACTAGAAGATCTAGGTTTCACTCTCCATCAACAACTTGGTCTCCTTCTATGAGGGAGGGCAGGAAATCTCAGTCACCATCCCCTAAAAGGGAGATGACCAGAGACAGGAGCTCGCGATCACCCAGGAAGGAAGCTGGGAGGGAGGGAAGGAGATCCTTATCTCATTCTCCAAAGAGAGAGACACTCAAAGATGAGAAAAAAACACCATCTCGATCTCCCAAAAGGGAAACTATCAGGGAAAGCAGGAGATCATCTTCTCGGTCAAGAGCTAAGGATTTGTCTCCAAGGCAAAAATCTAGATCTCGAAGCAGTGATAGAGACAGTCAGAGAAGAGATCGTGACAGAGACAGAAGAAATAGGAGGTGGTCTAGGTCACGGTCACGATCTCGGTCGAGGTCCAGATCTAGGACGAGAAATAAAGGCTCTTCATTCTCTAGAAATGAGAGGGACAGTCATTCACCTCGATGGAAGGACAGATGGACAAATGACAGCTGGAGGAGTCCCAGGGGAAATGATCGATACAGAAGAAGTGATCAAGAGAAACAGAATGAAAGTCTTAAAAAAGAGAAGGACAGTACAGAAAAAAACAGTGATGATCAGTGTTCTTCAGACAATAGGAGGAATGATTGTCCAGACTGGGTAATGGAAAGGATAAACTCAGTTCCTGAAGTCAGGAACAGAGAGAGAGAGAAACCACATTGGGAAGATAGCAGGCATGACAATTCAGGACACTCTTGGAATAAAAACTATGGTTCAGGTTGGATTCAAAATCGAGGGAGGGGTCACCGTGGCCGCGGTGGGCGTGGAAGAGGTGGTTTCATGTATGGAGACCAGAGTGAAAATCACTGGCAAAATAGAAAACCTGTCTCAGGGAACTCAAATGGTTCTGGGAATGAAACCTCAAGGTTCTCAGAACACCAGCCCTACAAGCGCAAGAATGAACAAGATTACTCTTTCGATACACCTGCTGACAGATCTGGGTGGACATCTGCATCCAGCTGGGCTGTGAGAAAGACTTTACCTGCTGATGTGCAGAATTACTATTCAAGAAGGGGACGCAACTCATCAAGCCCACAGTCTGGATGGGGCATGAGACAAGAAGAGGAGGTGCCTGAACAAGGTATTCACAGTTTTGAAACGTAAGAGCTTAGTCACAGCTGTAGTAGTTGAGTAAAATCCAAGCCATGCTCTATCTCAAGATGATTGGTTCTTAAAAATAATGTGGGGTGAATCCATAGTCTTTTTGCAATGTGGAGGGGTTTAGGTATGGGATTTTGGGTTTTCTGGTGTTCTGATGGCTTTTTGGTTTCACTTAAAATTTCAGGTTTAAAGACTATGCATCTGAAGAGTGCTGCTCAACTAAATCGATTTGGCTGAAGAGAAATCATATTCTCTTCAAAGTTACTTTTAGCATCTGCATGCCTTTTAAAAAGGGTGATTTTTTTTGTCAAGGAGACTTGCATTTGCCTTCACAGACCCACATGGTATAGTCTAGCGACGACAAATCTCTATGTTGATATTTATCTTGCTTCAATGTAAGCATTTCTTTAAATGCTTTAAAAAATAATGTAAGGAGATTTATAAATGCAAAACCAATGCTTTTACTGTGCTTCAGAGTTAGAATTCCTCTAAAGATTCAATAGAAATCTCGTATTTTGGAGTATTTTATATCTAAAAGGTGACTGCTCTGGTGGAAATAAACTTTTCTTGTAGTGAGTTAACTGTGGAGGAGATTAATTCTGAATAGCTAAGAATTCATCCACAGATTATGAATGCCCTGAAGTATTAAAAGTATTTTAAAACATGTGAATTGTATTTAAAAATGATAAAATCCAGTTCAGAAGGCAACCACGCTTGCACTTTCCCATTGTCTCCTTGGTTTGTCTTCCATTTTCATCCATTTTCATCCTATATGCCAGCAGCTTTCTTCCTGTTTCAAAGACAACTGCATTGGTGGCTTCTTAGTTTTGGGGCAACTTTGTCAACCTTCAGCCTGCTGCAGGCAAAATTTATTCAACCTTTAATTGAAAGCATGGTGCAATTTATAGCCTTTCGATCATGTAGTTCAGGAGCAGTCACACTGGTACGTTCACTTCCAACCTCAGTGGTTCTGTTAGCCCGTGATCTTTAAAAAAAGGTGATTTGGGATGAAGCAGAAGGGTTTAAATCCCATTCCCTGTGAATTAGGTGGCAGTGGGTCCCTCAAGGAAGAGATTCTGAGGGAAGAACATGTGAATTATAATCCATCAGCTGTTCCTTAGAACTAATTTCTTGCTGCTAAATGTTAACTTTCTGGCTCCTGTTGAAGGTAGAATGAGCTACTGAAGTCATGTTTTAAAGAAGTGACACCCCAAGAGGTTATTTTCGTACTCCTGGACTTCACCTGTTGTACCATTACAGGGCTTTTGAACAACTCTTTCTGAATATGAGCATCATTGAAACTGGTTGAGGACATTTGATTATTCAGTGGAAGAAAACCCAGCAGAGAATTTCTGTAGTTAACAGGAATGCGCAGAGAATGTGTGTGAATCAGACAAAGAGGAGCAGAGAAGTGCAACATGCAACTAACCTTCTGCAACCGCAGAAGCTGGAGAAGTTATGTTGTCATTCTGCTCTTTGCTGGTGAATTACTGTTTCAGTGTGATGAAATAATTTCTTAGCTGTGTTATGGGAGTAGGTAGAGAAAATAGAAATTCAAACTGCAGGCTTCCATAGTAACCTGATCTTTTTTTGACTCCAAAACTAGCATTTGGCTCACTGACATGTCTGATGATGAATGCTGTGCAATAATGTAATGCAGTGTCCTTAAAATACTCATATTATAGACAGCTTTTTGATATCCCATACCTCATGAAGAGTTGGTTTGACTTTTGCATTATGAAATGCAGATACTTCATATACTACCTGTTTTTTCTTTTGATAGATCCAAACCTCAAAGACCAAGGCAACCAGCAGAGTGATGGTTCTCAGTTACCAATGAATATGATGCAGCAACAAATGAATGTAATGCCACAAGTGAATGCACAGCACCAGCCTATGAATATCTTCCCGTATCCAGTGGGTGTCCATCCTCCTCCCATGATGAATATGCAAGGAAACCCTTTCAGCATCCCCCCTCCAATGCCCATGCATCATCTCCCTACCGGAGTGCCTCTCATACAGGTAGCTGCACCCACAAATTTGTCTCAGGGATTACCTCCGCCTCCACCTCCACCCCCACCATCTCAACAAGTCAACTACATTGCTTCACAGCAAGATGGAAAACAGTTGCAGGTATGCTTTATCAGAAGCCATGGCAAGAGCAGTATCAAAGTAATACCAGTTTAAGGGTCTCTTATATTGAATACCATAATCTTGATAAATTTATACTTGCAGTTTTTTTCTCTCTTGCCTGTCTTCTTTCGCCCCACACTAAATTTAAAGTGAAAGGTATCCATGAGGATTTGAGTTGGTTTGGGGCTACAGCTTTTAAATAATGATACACAACACCATAACTGGGTTTTGTGGTAGCAAGGCATTTCAGCTGGTAATGGAACACTGAAAAATTTCATCAGTGTTGTCCATTACCTTTTTCTTCTTACAAATGCCTCATTTCCAAAACTAAGTGTTCTCTTTCAAAACCTGATTCTTAAGCTTTAGGATATGTTTGAGTCCCCTTTTATCAGCGTGTAAGAAATGACCTAAACGTTGTTGCAATTCTCATCCCAGCAGAGGAAAAAGTACCAAGTACTGCGTGGCACCCAGTTGTTCCACACTTCCATTCTCCAGCTGTCATTGTCTCAGCAGCTTCCTCACACATACGCATTTTCTGTTCTGTTCAGGCTTTTGAGCCTTTTTGTTAGTAATTTCCAAGCTTTCTTTGGTATGTTCTGCATCCCCTTTCTTGCCTGAACCTCCCCAGGGTTTTGCATGCCCAGTTTGAGACCTAACTCCCACTTCATTTCTCCAGTTTCAAAAAGATTGCTGGGCTTGGGGCAGGTCAGACCATCTTTTAGTGCCTTTCAAGCCATCTTAAAACAACCTTAATGTATGTGAGCTCTTCCTGTAGCCAGCTGTTTATATTAAGAGCTTTTATATCAGGGAAAGGAATATGAACAACTTCTAGTACAATGCATGGCCCTGCAAAGAAACGTAACACTGCATCTGTGATGTGTAAAGTGCTCTTCAGGGGTTGACTGAGGTTTGTGTTTTTCTTCTGTTGCAGGCTGCTTGCTCTAACCTAAAATGCTTTCCACTGCATTCCAGGTTAAAAAGTGATGTTGTACAACAATGATTTCTGACCCTCTGTTTTCATCCGTCATCTCTAAAAATTGGAAGTGAACTGATAAATTGCTTATATTCTTTTCACTTTCAGCTGCTGTTACCATTCATAGTCATTAACTTAGAACAAAAGGAGCTTAAGTACTGTGGGAAATACTGAGGGGGGTTATAGGCCATTTGAAATAAAGTATACTCTGCAAGGTACCATTGGAACTAAAATGCTGGTAGACTGCTTGTTGATTTGAGTAATGCCTGCTGTCTGTAATTATTTTCACAACTGGAAATCCAGTAGGTTTAATCCCTAAAAGTGTAAGAAGTCAGAACGTAGGCTACAGACCTCTGTGAAACGGTATCTAGTGCAGCAATAAATACGTTTCTGTATGTGTGTATTGCTCAAAAATACAGCTATTTGTTAGCAAAGCCCCTGTTAGATTTGTTGCTCTCACCTGCTTTTGTGGAATGGTGTCCATGAACCTGAATGCTCTTGAGAGCTGCTGCTGCTTTGTCTGAGTTTTCACTGAACAAGTCCTTGGTGGTAGCACAATAGGAATTACTGAGTGCTGCAGGACTCCACCTGTCCTTCCTGTTGAAAGGAAGATAAAAGAGAGCGCACTGGCGAGCATCAGGATGCTGATTGAAACAGCTCAGTATCTGTGTCCTTTCCAAGGAGCTCAAGTTCCTGTTTCATTATTTTTTCACCTGGATAAATGTAGATGTAAAGGAAGCAATGGTGATTACCCACAGGAGAAAAGCAGCAGTTAGGTTGGCCTGCTGGGGACAGGTTGGGAGTGTGGGTTCTTGGCTTTTGCTAGAAGTGAGCTGTCTGAGGTCTGAGAGCTACTTAATTTCTCAGTTCCAAAGTATCAGCAGTGCCCGGGTCTATCCATGGAGTTTGGAAACGTACAGAAAATGGCTTTTCCTGAGGAACAGGTCCTGGTGCTTCAACCAGCATTTCACCTCTAGGCTCAAGTAAGCTTGTAGGTGATTTGAAATCCGTTTGGAAGTTCAGGCTGATAACAAGCATGAAAGTAAATGTGTTCTGAGAGCAGCATCGTTGTGATGCAGGAATGCAGGTGTGGTCTGAGGTTGCTTGAGTGTGTGTTTAAGAAATGTTACTCTGTGACAAGTAGAGAGGTTCTGCAGCCTTGGGGTTCCTGTCCCTTGTGCGAACTAACATCTTCCATGCCTGTTTGCGGGGTACTTTGGTTGTTTTATCCTTGGGATCAGAGCAAGAATCCTTACCACCTCCGTGGCGCATGGAGGAGGCTTTACTCTTCAAGCTTCACCTTTTTTTCCTCTGAGTAGATTTGATACAATGTGTGTACCTTCCCTAATATCGAACAGTGTGGAAATTAGCTGATGAACCAAAGCGTGTAGCATTCATGCTCTTTCTGTAGCTGCTGAGACTTCTAGAAAGGCGTATTGTCATACTGAAGGATAACTATATTAACTGCTGGTAACTTTTTGAAACAGGGTATTCCAAACGCTGCTCATGTAAGTAATAACATGAGTGCTCCAGCCTTGCCTGCTCCAACAGCAGTCCTGGGAAACACGGGAACAGTTCAGGGACCAAGCTCGGGTAATGCCACATCGTCAAGTCACATCAAGAGCGTTAATGCAGCTGTAAAAGTGGGAGAGAACAAAGCAAGTGTGACAGTGGAAGCCAGTGCAGATAGCTCGAAGAAGGACCAGGCAAGTTCAGAGTATACTTATATAGACACTGGTTTTTGTATTTATATATAAAATATATATTAAAATTTTCTATATTATATATATAATTTTGTACACTAAAAAATAGCAAACCATGACAAGTATCCTTTTGTGTAGTATGCTCGATATCACGTATGTGATACTTTTGTGGCAGCTGTAGCACGTAAACTAGCAAGCCTTTTTTTATGTAGACTCCTTTAAAGCATCACTGTTACGAATATCACTTTAATTGCTGCGGGACAGCATCCCGGTCTGAGTAAAACACAGGCAGGTTCATGAGAGTCGAAATGTGACTGAGAGGAGTGTGGTTCTGCCAGTCTTTGTAATGCCTTATATTCTGTAAAGTTTCAATCTGTGATAAAATGCTGTATCTGCAGGCAGTGAAAAATAACACTCAGGTTTGTTTCTTGATCAGAAATTGTTAATTCAAGAGAAAGCGGCACAAGAGGTCAAACTGGCTATTAAACCCTTCTACCAAAATAAAGACATCACTAAGGAGGAATATAAAGAAATAGTGCGAAAAGCTGTAGATAAAGTAAGTTGACCGTGTGTGCGTTTCCATTGAAGTGGTGTTTGGGGTAATTTCTCAATCTTGTGGGCACAGCTGGTAGTTGCTGGGAAAGGGGAACAGGCAAAGCACAAACACTTTCATCTTTCTCCATCCACGAGAGCTCTCTTGGCTCCTCGCAACATTCCACATTCACCGTGAGAAACGGTTGGATGGGAATTCAGAAGTATTTAGGAAGCAGTTGGGAAGTACTGGTTGTTTCCAGAGTTCTGCCTGAGGTGGGGAAACCTGGGGTGTTGGGAAAACAAATGAATGATGTGGAACAGTGGCAAATGACCAGCAGTGTTTCAAACAGGGTCTTTTCTCTGAAACTGTTTCAGGTTTGCCATAGCAAGAGTGGAGAAGTTAATTCTGCCAAAGTGGCAAATCTGGTGAAAGCCTATGTAGACAAATACAAACATTCACGGAAGAAGAACCCCGAAGAGGCCGTCTCCTGTGAGAGGAAATAGAATGTGCTTTCAGTTGTTAATTTTCTTCTATCTGCAAAGTGCAATTGCAACATGAACCGTTAACTGAAACTTGTACATGACACTGATTTGAACCTGGGTTTGATAAAATTATTTTTCAATGTAGTATATAATGTTTTGTTCTAAAGAAATAGAGACCTGCAGGGCAACTTCTTTATTCCTTTTTAAAAGCAGATGTCTAAAAAAGAAATGAAATGTGTAAAGAAGAATCATTAGGGATGTACGATTGTGTGGATACTTAGATGTACAGCATTTTGACTTGAATAACAGAGTGCATTAAACTAGAAACTTCGGAGTACGTTGCTTTTGGAACAGGTATGTACAGTCCATGGAATGGGTCAGATTTAAAATGATTTTTTTCTTTTTGATTTATCCCTAATTATAGCAAATATAAAGTAATGTATTGCCTTGACAGAGATTTCTAGAGTTAACTGGACAGGCTGAATGCAGGGGTCACAATGTGTATATAAAAAAGCACATGGAGTTGGCTGAACAGAAGAACTGTTTAGATTTTAAAGAGAAAAATGATGAACAGTGAAGGGCAGTGCCCAGAGCCATGGGGCTGCGCATCTGTTGTAACACCAAATAAAAATGATGCTGCTTGGTTTTGTTTGTATGTTTTTCGCTTTGTTTCAAGATAGCTGGGATGAACTTGAATGACTTTTATGTGCTGACATACACACACACACACTGACAACCTCAGATCATGTCTAACCCTGCCCTTAGCTAGTAGGGAATTAGTATGCTAGAGCTGGATGTTCAGAGACACAAACCAGTTTCTTCTTCAAGTCAAGTGGAGGAGTTGGCATTTGTTACTGGGCTCCCAGCTCATCAGAGAGGGCCAGTGGTGCACATCTTAGCTGCATAGTGCTTTTTCTTCATTAACTAGGGCCTGTAGCATGGAGCTCCAGACTGGGATCAATGAATGGGTGCAGTCTGAAGTCACATGCAACAACTTTTCTCCTTCCCCTGAGCACTTTTGTGTAGGGAGGTCAGTAGAGGTACCACAAGCATTTTAAAAGCAGATGTGGGGGTCACCAAATGTGCCAGGGGAATGCCTACACCTAAGGTAAAACCGGTTTCACTGACATAGGAGCGAGGAGGGTTGCTGGAACACTGAGGTCATTACTTGTTCCTTATGGAAGGAACAGCTTGGGATCCATCCATATTTGAGTGGAGAAGTATCCTTACTCTGAGACAGGACTATTTGTTCCCTTACTCTCAGACATGACCGTTTCAACACTCCCCCTCCAGTCCTGCCATGCAGCAACAGCCTTTGGCATTGGCCCAGCCTGGAATCTGCTCCAGCCCCAGATCTCCTGGCCCAAAAACCTGCATAAACCGCTTGGACAGAAAGGATCAGTCAAGTTTTCTGAGCAGTTACCTCTTTGTAGCCAAGAGTTCCCCATTTGACTGGTCTGGGCAGAAAACCCAGCCTTGCCCCGTCACTAATACCTGCAGAGGCCTGAGGATGAAATAAGGGACATGCACCCCCCTATACACACGTGGTTAGAGAGAGATACATGTATGTGTAAAATGGGTGATGTTTGTCACAAGGGTTGGTTGCTTGGTTTTAACCATGACTTTTCTGCGGGGTTAATGAAGCATTTGACTGTGTGTGTTTATTTTTATGTGCCTCAATAAAAATGCTGTGTAAATTAGACACAGAATACATTTTCTACAGTCAAAGCAGGTTTTAGCTTTTTCAGAGCACTCAGTGTTACACTGTGGTAGCGATTTGTATGATCTCTTGAACTAGTTTCAGCTAAAAGGGGTTAGCACTTTCTGAAAGATGTTGTAGCAAATTGCTATGTCTCTCCTGGTTTATCACGCCATGCGTACTTGATTTCTATTTCCTTTTCCTTCTCTGGACTTCTAGATTTTAATGCCTTTTTATACCTTTATACAGTCGAGCCTTGCTATAAAGCTCCTTTCAGGAGCCGGAGAAGCGTTCTGTGGGTTGTTTTCCCCTTCTAGAGGAGAAGTGGGAATGGGTGGAGGATTCAAACTGGGAGATGGGGTCACTGATTCCTTGTGTTGCAGCTCCTGGCTGGGAGGTAAGCTGTCACTTGCTGCCACGTTGCTGGGGCAGTGACTATAGTGATGCTCCACTGTATTTCAAAGCATAATGAAGAAGATGGATAGAATAGCACGTGATCAGTAACTTTATTTTTTACAATGAAATACTTCAGAACTTAGCAGAAAATACGCGGTTCAATACAATGTCGGTGTTGAATTAAAGAAATGCATTGCCTTAATCCATAGCCTCTCCTCTTACTTTTTCCTGAAGAGCAGTAAGGGAGGCACATACCTCAACCTCGTTGTTTGTTAAATAGCTTGGAAGCTGGATTTCTATTTATTGGAACTCCTTGTGCTGCAGGTCCCAGCGTGCACTGGAGGCAGGGGATGGGGACGCTGAGCCCCTGGGTGGTGGTAACTCCATCGACACAAATTGCCTTGAGGAAAACAATTGCTGTGTACCGTGTGTGAACTGATGCAGAGCAAAAGGGTTTTCTTTGCACTCCTTGCGCTCACTGTGCGTGATGCTTGAATGTCTTATCCTGAAGATGGATCTTGTGAGCACAGTGGCTGGCCAAAATCCATCATATGGTGTCTGTAGCATAAGGCTGGAGTGCTGTCTACTGAAAAAAATACTCTAAAACTCCGTTTGTGTAGTGCTTAACACTTTCTAATAAATGTTTTTCACTAACCTGGCAGTCGTCCATGTCTGGTCTTGAACGGGTCTGTCTCAAGGGGTTTAATTCCAAGTGAATGGCTGAAGGAACTGGGGTGGTTTAATCCGGAGAAGGGAAAAACTGGGGGAGACAACACTGTATCACTCCCTACAACAAAGCGAAAGGAGGATGGAGACAGGAGGTGGGTGGTCTCTTTTTCCCAAGTAACAAGCGACAGGACAAGAGGTAACAGCCTCAAGCTGCGCCATGGGAGGTTTAGATTGGATATTAACAAAAACTTCACTGAGAGGGTGCTCAGGCATTGGAACAGGCTGCCCAGGGCAGTGGTGGAATCACTGTCCCTGGAAGTGTTCCAACACCATGTAGATGAGGCCCTCAGTGACATGGGCTAGCGGTGATCTTGATGTAGAGCATCTCTTCCGACCGAGTCGATTCTGTGATTCAGACAGCAATGTGTAATTACCATTGCTTCTGTACGTACGGCTCTTTAATCATCTTACTCCATGTTGTTTGGGCTCCCCCTCCTTACCGTCTGGTTTGTTTTCAGTCAGCCCGTCCTTCCCCTGCCTTGCCTGCATGCAGATGCTCCAAGCTGAAATGAGCTAAATTCATGTGGCAACACATCCATGTACTGCGTGTGCTGCAGTGGTGACTCAAGGTACTGGCTTTGCAAAACATTGCGGGGTTTGGCCTATGATCTGATCTGCTGCATGGACCACACAGGGGCAGGACCCAGCTCAACCCTGTCCTACGCACCATGTACCCATCCAAGCAGTGGGGTTCGCTGAAAGAGCCCACGGGGGATTTCAGCACGTGGGAGCCCACCTTCCTGGGGAGCTATGTCCAGGCATCACTTTGCGTTCTAGGATTAACCCCAGTGTACTTCCCTACAGCACCTCCACAGATCATGCAGACACAAGCTGTGTGAGAGCCTCTTGCTCTTGAAGGCGGCTGGCTGGCTGCTCCATGACATCCCAACTGGATTTGTTGGGTCTGGGATGCTTTGGCTGGGCGGTAACATCCAGGGTGGGAAAGGATCCTCTTACCCGGTACTGCTCTGAGGGTGTCTTGGTTCTGTCACTCTGCACTTGCTCATTGATGGCCTACATTGAAGAGCAAGGGTGGACACAAAGGTTGTGACTCGGGCTTGATGAGGAGGGAGGCCCAGAGGTGTCAGTGCCTTGAGGCCGAGGCTTCAGAAAGAGAGAAGAGCACTCGGAGGCCTGCGCTGCAGCTGTAACCAGCTCCGGAAGCTGCAGTTACAGCATTCACATCGATCAATGTGTTACAAAGAGACGAGACAAGAATAAGGACAATAAAGGAGAAGTGTTCAAGGCCAGGCTGGACGGGGCTTTGAGCATCCTGCTCTAGTGGAAGGTGTCCCTGCGCACAGCAGGGGGTTGGAACGGGATGAGCTTTTTAAGGTCCTTTCCAACCCAAACCATTCTGTGACAACCAATTTCATTAATTAAAGAGTATTTATCAATCAGATGCAGCAGCTTCCGAAGTAATGGAGCATTGATGGAGACACACTGACCTAGAGGTGAAGAAAACCACGCCCCCACTACAAAAAGCACGGGTAACTGCACAAACCCACCTGAAGCTGTGGGAAGGCAGAGGCCGGGATATGGAACTTGACTCTTTCTTTTCCAGTGTTACTCGCTCACCGCTCCCACGGCTTCGCAGGCCAGCAGCGCACTTTCGAGCGATCTTCATTTCCACAGAGTGCAGTACATAGAGGGGATCCCAGCAATGCAGTAGGTGCTCATTACACGCAGTAAACAATCAAACCAGGGTGGAATCCAGCACAGAGAAAAATGACTGCAGGAGCCAAGCCCGAGGAATTTTGGCAGCAGGATGTCATGTAATTATGTTCAAGGAATTACACCTGAAACCACTGGATTTTTTATGAGGAGCATCAATCAAAGCGCCAGTGATTCCTCAGTGCTTCGGTGCAGCAGCACGTGGGATGAAAGACGGGAATAACTCCTGGAAGTCAGAGTTCACCTATAGATTCCCAATCGTCTTGCAAAAGCTTGGAGCTCTCGAGGACCAGGACAGCAGCTTGCACGTGGTGGGGAGGGGGTACCCCATCGGCAGGCAGGAACATCGCTGCCTTTTTTCCTCTCCAGGAGTCAGAGGGAACCCTGATGTGCAGGTACTGGGGCCGCAGACACTGATCAAACTCACTGGTGACCAAAGCACAGCCACCGACTCGCTCTACCCAACGCTGAGAGTGGAACTTCTCCTTGCTGCTGGCAGCATCAGGAGGACCGGGATCCCCAGTAATGCCTGCAGGTATAAAGCACCCAAAAGGGAACCTTTCTGTTGAGAGCATCCAGGAGGAAAGGCTGACACACATTCAGCTTGCTCAGGGGCATCATTTACCACTGCACGGCACCTGGCAGTTAAATGGCCATCTCAGACTGATAAAACCCGAAGATACTCCCCTTGCAAATACAATGACAACTCTTGGAGGCACAAGACCTGCCTCTGATTTGAGTGTCTCTAAGTGTCTTTAATGCCAACACACCACAGAGCTGCTGCTGCTGCACGTGGCTTTGCTCCGTAAGCTCGGCTTCCCTGAAACACAAGGGATTCAGTGGCCAACACGGGGGGGAAAACCCCTCCCTCCAGGGGGTTCAACCTCCACCTCCCTCCCTCCACATCATCAGGCTGAAGAGTGCACAAGGAGATGGGCTCTGTGGGCTTGTGTAAAGCCCTCGGTGCCAGCCCAGAATCCCCGGGCAGCTCCCAGAGGGGAGCTCAGTGGCTGTTTGAACTCCAGGAGCTCTGACGAGCACACACACACCACAGCTGGTGCTGGCCAGCTCTCTCCTGCAGAAGTACCGGCCCCTCTTCCCTCTCCCCTACTGCTCCCTTCACTGGCGATCGGCCGAGCAGCTGAGCTCCAGCTCACCTTGCCAGGGGCCAGGCCAGCGAGGAGCCCACCAAGGCCAGCAGCGGAGCTGGGATGAGGGCACATCCCCGTGTCCCGCGGGACACGTTTCATACTTGTTCCGCCACATTACTCCATCCTAAACAATATAAACCCACAGAGCCCTGCCCAGAGACGAGGAACAAACCAACATTCAGGTAGAAGGAAAATCTGCTCTTCATCAGGACAGCAAATACCCGTGGACACGCAGATGTAAAAGCCCAGAACAGCACCACCAGCAAATCATCTCAGAACAGAGTCTGCAGCAAACCCACCTGCACGGTATTCAAAGGCCCCTTTAAAACAGCTCTTCAAAACCACCTCTTGTAGTGGCGTGAAACCAAGAAGAAAACACTGAAAGCAGGGTGTTGGCAGCAGTAATACAATTATCTGGGCGTGCTTTGCCCTGCAGTGCAGGCAGGAGCTAACCCTGACGGCAGGGCACCTTAGCCTGGCCTCACACACTACAGAAGAAACACCAGAACTGGACCACTGAGCAGAGTAATGGATGGGAAGAAGAGCTGATCTAAAGGTGAACAACTGTAAGGCTTTTTCTCCTCCCAGGCAAGGCCATTGCAATAGTTTTAGGTGGACGTCAGACCATGCGCCAACAAAGTGGTCTGTTACCGTGCTGACAGCTCAAAAACCTCCAGAGAACTTGGACTGATGAATGAGGAATAACATTTACTTTGGCAAGAGGCACTTTCAGGGTTCTTACTACACTGAGAAATGCTTTAAAAGAAGAACTGAACTGTAAAACCAACAGATTTCCTCATTTTAAAAATACACCTAGCCTGCAATGAGTAGAACATGGTTTTGTTATCTTTTCCTTGAGACGTTTGTACTCTTCTTCAAGAAGACAGCGTGGAGCCAAAGCCAAACCAGGTTCCTCATGACCATGCTCCTGAGGTGATGCTTACTGCAGACCACAGGTTGTTTTCCATCAGCTGGAAGGAGCAGTGGTGTCAATAAAGTAACTTAGGATGAGGAAAATACGTGATAGAAAAGATGCATTTACCTGTGCCAAAAACCCCCGCTAATGGCAGCGTGCTGCGCACTGGGTGGAACGCAAACCGTGTGCTGCCGGTTGCTCTCCCTGTCAGCGAACTCTCAAAACCGGGATCTGTCACACACCACTTGGAGCAGTGAGGAGCTGGGCGACAACAGATCTGCATTGAACTCCCACACACCACTATTACACTAACAAAATACAGATGAGGCAGAGCTGGCAGCCGCAGCGCAGCACACACCGTTATGCTGCCAGGGAACCTGTGTGCATGCTCTGCAGTCCTGCTTTTTGTCAGCTATATTCTGACGTGGGACATGCGGCCAGGGAGTGTTTCGCACTAACACAGTGAACATGCACACCCTTCAGCAGCAGTACACAGCAGCACTGCACAGCAAAGCCATGATGCCACAAACCAGTCCTTTGCCCTCCACTGGTTACTTGGAAATGAATGGCTAAAGGTGACATTAGGGTCACCCTGAAGCTGGGTCCGTCTGAAGCAGTCGGATGCAGTGGCTGTTGCTCTGGACACTATAAAGGGCCTGGAATAGAAATCGTGTGGAAGTTCCCCCTTCCCCTTCTGCTCTGCATCTGAAACCCTTACAACCCTGGACTGTC